GACCCCGATTCACTTTGCTCTTGCTGCTGCCTCTTCTACGTTTTTTTCTATTTTATGAACTCTCATACCTCTCGCACTCTCCGGCTCATGTGAATTCCGGATTCCACATGCCTAGCATGCCGCACTTTTGTGCGCAGCCGAGTCCACAGTTTAACATATTAAAAGTAAAGTAAGCGCCCGGACAAAAGCATCCCGCCGTATGGCCACAGCACACGTCGTCCATTCTAGTTCTTATTATTCGCATTATTACTGTTGTTGTCGTCCATTCATCACTGGCGCGTTTCTGGAATGCCATTCATGGCAACAGCAACGAAACGCTTCCAGTCCCAAATTTCCTGTTGCATTCCCCAGCGTCACTTCATAATTAGCAAACAGTTGAAATTGATGTTGCAAAGCCTTTCGCCCGATAGCCTTTATCGCTCAAGCATCGTTTCGAGCGATAATGCAACTGTTTGCAAAACACTTCAAAGTAAGCGCATTTTTTATAGACGCTGTGCGTCGGCTGCAGCTGGAGCTGAGCGCGTGACACGAGAGCTAGCGATAGTTAGCTTATTTCATTTCATGTCGTCTCCCAGTGAGTTTTAGATATGAGCTCGGTAGGGAATTTCATTTAAGTTATCTCGTGAGCCTAAAACTCGATTCGAAGCTTCCGCTTGAAAGGATTCGGATTTTATTTTAATTTTTCTCATTAACCTAAAACTCTGCTCGGGCACGAAGGGATTCCAAGTTCCTGCTTGAAAGGATTCGCGGTTATTAATAAGTCTTCTTGAGGGGCCTACTCCGATAGTTCCTGCTGTTTTCTAACTCACTGCTCTGCTTAGTCAATGGAAGATACCTAGCTCCCTGTCGGGAAACATTCCAAATGACTCGAAGAAGAAATCAGCTCGACTGCTAGCCTCTTTTTTATAACTTCTGCTGCTTCGGCCCTTGCCCAACCGCCTATGAGTCATAGATGCTGCTCGATTAAAGCAAAGGACAAGATCCCTGACTCCTGCTTGTTCGACTGCAACTGGATTCAGGAGGAGTCCTATGTTCCTGCTTGACTGCGAATGAGTCTGAGCTTCCTCTCAGTAAAGTACACGCAACACCAGCTCAGTCAGCTGCATTTACTTGTTTCTATTTGTATGATGAGCTCATGTGAGGCACGCGCTCATCTCTAGCTGAGAGCGGAGCATGCTGTGGGTCTTATCTCTTAGTCAGCTCGTCGCGTTTATCGTCGCTGTTGTCCTTGCACAAATTATTGAACAGCATTGAAAACATTTGAAGTGTTCCAGCTGAAAGCCAAGTGGCCTGCCCCAAAGACGTGCAGCCAGCGTAAAGGACCAAAAGGCATCGAACTGCACTAGGCTCACATGGGAACCGAGACCAAGACCAAGACCGAGACCGAGACCGAGCAGCTGGAGCAGCTCCATCGCGTGCTCCTGGCCAAGTGGCAAGGCGAATGCGAATGCGAATGCGAATGCTTTTATGCTTATTAATGGCACTACATGCAATTTATGTGCGGTAGTTAAAATGCAGCGGCAAATTAATGGCAGCTGACAGAGCGATGCACTCGCCGGCCAGACTGCAGCGCCAAGGACTACAGTGACTAGTTGCAATCACTTTTTGTTGCGCGTCCTTTGAGGCTGCGGTGGCATTAAGAGATGAGCGAATCAATTTCCACAGCTCTATCTCAAATTTGTGTAAGCTCATTTGAAAATAATCGAACATATTCTTAAGTAATGGATATATAGTCTTACACTCTTTTACTATCTCTTACCCCTTATAAGTTTATCATTGACACTCGTTGACTCCAGGTCGTCACATTTTAGCATCTTTCCATCCTATCCAGCTCTTAGCTATTCTTAGTTCGTTAAACCCAACTCATTGCTGGTTAATGTTTTCCCTATCGGCTCTACTCGTTATTCTATATGCGTAATATCCCAAGATCTAAGCAGCAAGCGCTTCATTAGCCCTGGCTAAGCGAACTATAATCCTTTTTATGAGCACCTGGCAACTGTTTAGACTAAGGCTAAAGCACAGTGCGTTGCCGCATAATGAGAGAAAGAGACACTAAGGCCGAGTGAGAGAGACGGACTCGTTGCTCGTGGTTGCTAAACTTTTGCACAAAGGCCCAAGTGCAGGAGGCGTCCTGAGTGCTCCATTGCCCCACCCACTGCAGCGCCCAAGTGAGTGCAACTTTTGACTTTGCGTGAAACGTTTGGTGTTTTCTAAGGGTTGCAAGCGCCGAGGGAGCCATTGGATGTGGGTGGCGGGCAGGGTGGGCAGAGGTTTGCTGTTTCGCTTTGCGGCTGTTGCTAGCTACGAGGAAATTTATGGCCAATTCAATAAACGATTTTATTACATGCGCACGTTGTGTTAACAATGTTATTATTATTGGCGCTCTGTTCCGCAAAACTGTATAGAAAGCCCCTGCGCCCAACCATCCCAGCCATGGAGAGCCATAGCTACAGGCCATGCGGCAAAGGGTTGCCGAGCCTTGCTGGCTGGGCCAATTATTATTATGAAAATTAATTTATTTTCTATCGATAATGCAGGCGCCAAAAAGGCGAAACTCGCACGACTGCAAGTCCTTATCAACAGCTGCCCAGCTAACGCAGCTACCTCTCTCTCTTTCTCTCTCTCTCTCTCTCTCTCTCTCTCTCTCACTCACACTCTTCTCTCTCACTCTCTTCTCTCTCTCTCTCTCTTTCTCTGTGTTGCTAGCCATCGCTCTCTAGCCCCCGCTAGCTGTCTGCCTGCATTCAGACTTTGGCGTGCATTTCGAAATGCTTTTACTTTGTTTGGAGCCCAAACTGTTGTTATACCCAGACTATGTGCTAAAGGGTATGCCAATGCTGTGCCACTCATTGTAACGGGCAAAAGTTCACCTTAGACTAAAACGTTCATATATATGTAGGTATATAGAAATGTATTCTGTTCCTTCAAAGGCAGTTCGATATCATATATAATATCGATAAAAATCGATATTGACTCATAGTCTATATTAGACTTTAAAGTTGATATATATAAATATTTTTTATTTCTTCAAAGCCAGTTCGATATCATAAAGATTATCGAGAAAAATCGATATTGGCTCATAGTCCACCTTAGACTTGAAAGTTGATATATATAGATATATTTTGTTCCTTAAAGCCAGTTCGATATCATAAAGATTATCGATAAAAATCGATATTGGCTCATAGTCCACCTTAGATTTGAAAGTTGATATATATAGATATATTTTATTCCTTCAAAGCCAGTTCGATATCATAAAGATTATCGATAAAAATCGATATTGGCTCATAGTCCGCCTTAGACTTGAAAGTTGATATATGCATATAGATATATTTTGTGCCTTCAAAGGCAGTTCGATATCTTAAAAATTATCGATAAAAATCGATATTGGCTTAAATCAAACTTTTAAGATCTACGGATATAAATATTACCACTCCGCTTATTTAAAGGCTTTTAGATGCAGATTTTTTATTTCTATATTTATACAGGGCATCTTCTAGCTTAGCATGCTTAATCCTCTCTCTTTGTGTTGTTGTTGTTGTTGGCGCGCCCACTGGATGTCAACGCTTTGCGCTTTTGTTTGCCCAACACAACAAAAGGCCAGCAGCACACCCACACCCACACACACACACACGCACACGCAAGCAAACAAACACACTCACACACATATGACCTGGGGTTTAGCTTATTTCCTACAAATGCATTGAGTGTGCGTGTGTGTGTGTACAAATATAAAGCTTAACAGGCGCACTCATGTGCAACGCAACAAGGCAACAAAAGTCTCATTACTTTTACTTGGCAAATAATAAAGCTAACGAAACAACAACAACAACAATAACAACAACAACAACGGCAATAACCATACAATTGTCAATTGACTTTAGCCATGCAACAACAACAGCACACACGGACACATCAACACACACACACACGCACACAGTCAGGTATATAATTGTTCCACTATTCTTATAAGCAAGTTAGCTGAGCTAGTTGTATACCCTGTAAATATGGCAAAAGGATGAACAAATAGTAAATGAACGAAGGAACAGAAGATGGCAGAAGACAGACACGCAGATGGACGGGCAAACGGATGGACGGACGGACGGAAGGATAAACAGAGAGATATACGGACGGACAGAAAGAGACTCGTACAGACGGTCGAATGAACAGTCGGTTGGATAAACAGACAGATGGACGGACAGACAGAGAGAGGTGTGGACGATCGGA